CTAGAGATTACAGTGCATCCTGTTAGTAACACACCCAAAAGTTGCAACCCCAGCATTCCTAGCCCAGAACCATCCTCCACCATTTCTTTTAATGTACATTCTCCCTACACCTCTCCGTGTGCCTCCCTGGAGCCCGCCACTCCTCACACAGATAATCACTTTTATAAATGATTTACTTTTGAAAGTTGCATTGTTGTCACAATTCACCATGAAGATTATCTCGTTCTGAGTTTTCCTTTTTGAGCTTTCACATCATATGTCCTTAGAGCAGGATTTAATGATCCCCTTTTGTGTGCATGTACAGACACCTATTTTGCTCTGCTTTTACCTTCGCTCTTCCTATCAAACAGGGAAATTTTAAATATCATGGTTATATGAAATCAGCTTGAGTTTGATAGGTTAGCCTTTGAATCAGCTTTGCCGGAACTTGAAGGGGAAGCTAGCTGCCTGAGAGGTCATTGTGACACTGTCAGTCTGCTACAATGAAGCTTGCTGTGTAGATTTTGTTAGAAATGAGATGAAAGCTTTAGGGAGATGTTCTTTCATTCAAGCATTATTTTCCCCCTAGCTAGAAGTAGTCAAAATCAAAGTGATTGTATAAGACTCAGGTTAGAGCACAGGAAGATAGAAGGAAATATTCTCAACATTTCAACAGTGACAATTTTTATTGATGATGAAGTTATGAATAGGTGTTATTTTAATTAAGAACCATTCATTCTAGCAATTAGACTTTCTCATACTGGCAGGTAGATATCAGAAAGATAGGGCTGTGCACAGTAAAGGGTCATTTAGAAGTATGCTGAATTAAAGGAAAGATTGTATGTAGACTTACAGAGCATCACAGAATTTTAGACCTGAAGGAACAGAAAAATGCCAGGTAATTGGTTACCTGAGTTCTTTTCATATTTACTCATATTACTCATATATTCTTTATACTCTTAGCACATTCAATGATTATTTCTCTTCTCTCAGCTATTTTGTGTATGATCTTAGTTGCCATACTTTGACTCTGTGGAGAGCAATATTGCTGTGTCTCCTATGTATTTATATTTGAGGTCTACCTTTTAGATGGTTATATTCTACAATATGTGTGGTCATGCAGTTTTCACTTAAGATATCTCACTATCCTGTGTGCAAGACCATTGAGGAGTAAGACAGAATCTCTACTACCACTAACCTTTATTCTTTTTGGTGGGTAGATTTTATATTTTGTTTCTCTAAACAAGGGAAAACAGTTATAGTTCCACCTCTTATGTGCGTTTCCTCTCTTATGAGTTGTAAGCTCAGTATGTGCACATATGTAAAATTTCAAGTGCAAGAGAGAACAGAGTAGGAAACAGATTTTCATAGTCCCCGTCTGGGTCCTTGTGTAAGTGCCAATGTAAAGCTATTCACTGATCAGTAAAAAAACAGTATAATGTTGCCTGGCTCTAAGGAAACGGATTTGAAAATCTAAACTTAATAAGCAGATCAATTGGGTGGGGGTTTGTGATTATTGTATCACATTCCAATGACATGCAGTGTTGTCAAAAACTTTTTCTCCAAAATTAGAATTACAGGAGGCATAGATACCTTTCAAAATGTCAGGAAAAAGGGTTGGGGAAATTTAGTTAAGAATAATGAAAATATATCACTCATATCCCAGGAAGCATACAGTGCGAGCATCTGGGTATTTCAGGGTAAAGGGTAAATTTAGTGTGAGTAGGAGAGGAGAAGGAGAAGGAGGTTCACATTGCATTTCAGGAGGTAAATGGATTAAGCTGAATGTCTGGAAAGAAGAGGGTTGCTGAGTGGAGGTGTGAGCCCCACCCAGGGGCAGGTCAAATTACTTCTTCCTCAATTTTTAGGAACTCATGTTAGCTGTGCTTGCATGTCCTTGTAAAGCAAGTGGCAACTTCTGGGATAAGTCCTGAGTGAACCATTTATAACCATTTCTGCTTTATTCCTTATATTTATTCAACATGATTATAAGGCCTAGTCTGGAGTTAAATTCAGATTTTATACTTTTCAGTCCTCCTCAGATTTCTTGTCATCAACTTTCTGATTTCTGAAATTTCTTTAACAAGAAATAAAATTTTTTTTTTTGAGTTGACGTCTCACACTGCCACCAGGCCACTATAGCCTCGACCTGCTGGGCTTAGGCGATTATTCCGCTTCAGCCTTCCAAGTAGCTAGAATTACAGGCACTCACCACCTTGCCCAGTTAAATTTTTTGATTTATTGTAGAGACGAGGCCTCACCAAGTTGCCCAGGCTGGTCTTGAACCCCTGGACTCAGGCAATCCTCTTGCCTCGGTCTCCCAAAAATATTCCATTACATAGTCCGATATAAGACTTCCAATACCTGTTTGTTTAACACACTGAATAGAATTTCACTAAACTCAACATTTATTAGATATCTATTCTGTACCTGGTACTAACAAGAAAAAAAATGATGAAGAAATAAGACTTCTTGCCATCCCCTGAGCCATGGAAATCATATGGTAACTACAGTGGGATGTAAGTTTCACAAGGGTAGAGATCACCTTGTATCTTTCCCTTTACTGTGGTCCCTGTATTTGTCACAGTGCTGGATGCATAACAAAGGTTCCTTATTCTTGTAAGTAGATGGATATATGGATAAATGTACTATCAGGAAAACTATAAAAAAGATGTGTACAAGATATAATAATGACCCAGAGAAAGGAGTGGACAATTTTGCCCTAGAGATAAGGAGAGATATTTGAACCAGATTATGAGAGATTAACAGAGGATTTCCAGAACAGTGTACAGCCACAAGAATAAGTGTGGGTAAAGGCAAGAAGGTGAGAAATGACCTGGATGTTCAGGGAGCTACAATTGATTTGCACTGCTAGGTCGTGTGGTACTGGGATTAGAAGATAGGATAGGATGAGGATCCTATCGTAAAGGGCCTTCGTAAGTGACATCTCTGAATCAAGCCAAGGCAGATGCTACTAGGTACTAGGGGTGGATGATGTGGAAAAGCAAAGACCAAAGGAACTTGTTTCTACTTCACATTTTTAACTGAGGTTGACCTTGTTTACTTGTAATAGTGTTGGGATTTAAAAGCTAATTAGGGAAGCATTTCTTAATATGGAAACAATAGAGCTTGATGTACTATATACTACTTCAATGAGGCTTTATAGTTTAAAAATTATTAAAAGAAAATGTTGTCTTTTAAAAGTCACTTTACAGTCACATGATTGTGTCATAGATATACCACTTTCCAAAGGAATCTATCAATTAATAAACGGAATTTCTGCCTGATTCCTTTCAACAGTGACTTTAGGATTTAAAACAGTTCATTTACACATGACTTTCCAGAGACTTCAAGACACTTGAATGGGGGAGTTTCTCTATACCTATAATGACAGCAAGCATGACTTGGATTTCTCATACTGCCAAAGCCTTACCTCTGTTGGGTAGGATGTTTTCTTGTTATAAATATAAGTCTTCCAGAAAGATTGAATGGGGTAGGTGCTGTGTTATCTCTTAGTTTAAGTAGAATATCTACAATGAAAATTGTATTTGGTTTCTTTGGACTGTTTTGATGTACTTAACTTTGGGAGTGTATTCCAATTTTAAATAAGGAACTCTATACTTATAACTGTTCGTTTCCTAAACCTAACTTTAAACATACCTACTGACTGTTTTAGTCAACTGTGGGGTCATGCTGAGTTGAAACCAATAGAAGGCTACCCTTTTTTCCCACTTACAGCACAACCACTGCTGTTGTCGTTTTCTTTCTCTTCCTACTTTCATTCTATTCATTTTTGGATAAAATAACTTCATATTTTGCATGTTGAGATTTAATATATGTTCTACACTTGATAATGCATTTAATTTGGGGGGAAAGGTTCTTAGCTGATTGTATTAGTTTAGCGGTTTTAGAATAAGATGTGTGTGGGGAGAGGAGGGACAGCAGAATCTTCAGTCATTGATTCTCTCTTTATAACTTTGCCCTTTTAGCTGGAACAGATTACTTGTGTAGTACTGCTAGCCCTGCACAGATGGAATCACAAGGAAGAAACTTTACATAAACCATTTATACTAAATGTTTGGTATGCTGGCAACATAAATCAACAACAATATCCATTACAAATTCATCCCTTTATCAGTCTTATCTTGATAGAACTGATCCCAATGTGTGGGAATTTGAACCTTGCTTCAATACATCTAGCCCCAGATAATTAATTATTCAGGGCACAGAGAACCTGGCCCCTGCAATGTAGAGTAATTCTTCCTGGTCAGCGTTAACTCCACTGGCAATAATAAATAGAAAAAGTCTCTAGTGATGCCAGTATTTTAAAGTGATTAATCATCTTTCCCCCCTTCTCCTCCCCCTTAGTTTTCTTTAACTAGGATTTTTCAGCCATAAATCTTTAACAATACAGGTAGGAATTGTTCAGTAATTAAATTTTGCCCTACTTAATTTCTTACCTTTTATGTGTGATTAAAAAAATGTTACATTTTAAGGAACCCTAATCAAAATTCAAACCAAGAAAAATTCTTTTGCAAAATACTGAGAGATGTTCTATGGAAGATTTAGATCTTGATTTTGAATATTAGATAGAGCACATACTCATAAAAATTGTTCATCAACACCAGTTGGGGTGTCAAATATTCTGAAGTTTTGAATTGTTTCACTTTCTTGCTTACAATTTATCTATATTAGGAAAAGTCTGACATATACATATGTTCCAACACTGAGAGAATAATTACTTCTTTTGTAACTTTCAGATAATTGATGTCAGTCTGTAGGAAAGGGATATTTGTCACCATTTTTGCAGTATACAAATGCACTTGCTGAAGTGGCAGGTAGATGCCTGACTGAGAGTGACCATGTATTTTTAAATTGTGCCTTGTCGAGCTGCCCAGCCATCATGTATATCCTGGGTGACAGGGACAGATGTGACATATCTGTTGTGACACACTTCTGTACCACCAGTCTGTGGCTCGAGGTGACTCCCATCCCTCCTCTGGTGCTTTTCCCTGCTGCAGGACAACACAACGATGCACGGATGAACCTTGCCATTGCTCTGACTGCTGCCAGGTATGGGGCTGCCACAGCAAATTACATGGAGGTAGTGAGCTTACTCAAGAAGACAGACCCCCAGACAGGGAAAGTGTGCGTGAGTGGTGCACGGTGCAAGGATGTCCTCACAGGTATGCCAAGTCTTGGGGAACAGGGAGGTATTTCTTAGTGTCTTGTTTGACTTATATAATGACTGATTAATAATTTTTCTGTCACTTTTCTTTCATTTAGGCCACACTTGCAGAGTCATATTATTTATATTCCTTATTGTCAACAGTGGCTAGTTTAACATGAAAATTTCTCTTGTGGGACTTGGCAATTTTTCCCCTTTGTATTATAATTATAATAATGATAGTAAGTGCCCATAAAATTCTCACAGCTATGAATGAATTTCATTTTCTTTACAAAAATATGTGATTAATAAAATTAAATGCACCAAATTTCAAAGTATCATTTGGTGACACAGGCAGTATGTTTATACATCATTAAAGTCAATCATCTTTAACTTTACTTAGATTTTCATTCTTGCCCTGGTTGTATGGTCATGTAGGCAGTTTCAAAGTTGCATCGATTCTTGAACAAAATCTCTGCAAAATGTGTTGTCTCACAGCAATGCTACTTACGCATTTGAGTTTTAAGGACAAGGTGACTTATTTACTCATTCCACTTTCATCATGTTTGGCACCTTGATGCTGGGTACCTTAAAAAATATAGACTGAAAACCACACTGAAAAGGGGGAATGCTTTTATTTTCTTCAGTTTGGACTTGTTTTTGGTAAATTTACTCAGATGTAAGCCTTTTGTTTGGCTCTTCAATAACTCTGGCCGCTCATGTCAGGTAGTGTGGTATACAATATACTTCACCATAGGTTAAGTTAATAGATGAATGAATAATCCACAGCATCTGTGAATAGAGAAACAAATGGAGTGTGTGACTGATGCCGCTTTCTTTCACAGGGAAGGAATTTGATGTGAGAGCCAAATGTGTCATCAATGCTACGGGACCTTTCACTGACTCTGTGCGCAAAATGGATGATAAAGATGCTGCAGCTATCTGCCAGCCAAGTGCTGGTGTCCATATTGTGATGCCTGGGTATTACAGGTAACTACCTTCCAGTATAGTGGTCATCACCCAAGAAAGAGGGGGAAAAGAGATTGTGTATGTCTAATTTCTTCTTCTAGCACATTTTTTTCTTTTAATTTTTTTTATTTTAAAGATATGGGGTACAGTTCAGGGTCAGGTATACAAATGTTCATTATGCAGGTACCCTTTTTGATGAGGAGCACACCTTTCTTAACAACAGACTAATTTGCTATTCAAAATTAGGAGAAATAAGCAAAGGAACTCTTTCAAAATACAGACCAAACTTTGGAATTTCCTAGCCACTTATGGCAAGACTCGTTTGTAAGGGTTAATGATTTATGATCTGTTCATGTTTCTTCTTTGTTCATTGAAGTCACCTTTCAGAGACTAAGTATTAGTGTTTTTGAATTATACTTTTAATTAAGACATTAAAAAATTAATTTGGCTAAATTTTAAATAAAGGACACATTTAATTAAAACATTAAGAAATTAACTTTGCAAAATACCCAAATTTGCTTATGAAGAATCAGAAAATATGGGTCATTCAGATATTAAGTTTATAACTTTAGAAATGTGTTTTTAAAAATATTATAGCAATACTTAACAATCAGATATACTTTCTAAACTATCAAATTAACAAGGTTAATTAGGGATGAAGAAATAGATTGGGGTAGAGATGAAATGGGAATAGCTACTAAATGAAGATTATTTAAGCTGGGTGATGGGTATATGGGAATTCATCAAACTCTCTACTTTTATATATGTTTAAAAATTTTAATAAATTAAAAAAGAACTATTTACATAGTTCTAGAAAAATAAAATTACCCCTAATGTACCTTTCAAGACATTTGTGAAAAAAGTTCATATGGCCATGTTAATAGTACAGAATGTGTACTGTTTTTATTTCATATGTGATAAATCTACTAATTCTATATGAAATAATGATTTATGTGCAACAGTATTTATTGAGACATTATTTGTAGTTGAGAAAGATTAGAAACCACTTTAGCTTCTTACCTTAGGGTAATAGATAAATAAATTGTGGCATAGCCACATGAGGTAATATTATATAGTCGTTAAGAATTATAATTATAAATAACTTTTTAAAATTTAATTTAACTTAATTTTTTTTATATATATATATTTTATTTTAAAATTGTGGGTTACAGTTAAGGGTTAGGTATACAAATATTCATTGTGCAGGTACCCTTGTTGATGAGGTATGCCGCCCCTTCCCCAGACAGATATTGACTACCGTTAATCCCACCTCCCTGCCCCTCCCTACCCCCCACCCCCATAGTTTCCCGCCACTGTTAATCTTTTTCTTGTAGTATTATGGTAGTTGTTCAAGGTCCACTTATGAGTGAGAACATGTGATACTTAGATCTTTGTCGCTGTGAAAGATCAGTCAGTATGATAAATTCTAATTCCATCCAGGTTGCTGCGAAATTCATGATTTTGGTTTTTTTTTTATGGCTGCGGAATATTCCGTTGTGTATATGTACCACATTTTTTAATCCAGTTCTCTTTTGATAGACAGTATGGTTGGTTCCATGATCTTGCTGTTGTAAACAATGCTGCAATAAACATACGTGTGCAGGTATCTTTTTCATAGAGTGATTTGAGTTCTTCCGGGCATATTCCCAGTAGGGGGATTGTGGAATCATATGGAAGATCGATTTTTAGAACTTTTAGGATTCGCCACACTGATTTCCGCAGAGGCTGTACTAGTTTACACTCCCACCAACAGTGTAGAAGTGTTCCCTTTTCACCATATCCTCTCCAGCATCTGTTATTTTTTGAGTTATTGATGATGGCCATTCTGACTGGAGTTAGGTGGTATCTCAGTGTAGTTTTAATTTGCATCTCCTTGATGACTAGTGAGGCTGAACATTTTTTTCATGTATCTGTTGGCTGCTCGTATGTCTTCTTTTGAGAAGTGTCTGGTTATATCTTTTGCCCACGTTGTAATAGGGTTTTTTTTCTTTTCAACCCGTTTGAGTTCCTTGTAGATCCTAGAAGTTAGGCCTTTGTCAGACGTGGAGTTGGTAAATATTTTTTCCCTAATCTGTGCGCTGTCTCCCTGTTCTCTTGATGGTTTTTTTGGCTTTGTAGAAGCATGTCAGTTTAATGAGGTCCCACTTGTCTATCTTATCTCTTATGGCCTGTGCATTTCAGGTTTTGCTCAGAAATTGGGTGCCAGTTCCAACTTCCATAAGGGTGTGTCTTGTATTTTCTTAAGTTCTTATGGTTTGAGGTTTTACATTTAGGTCTCTGATCCATTTAAAGTTAATTTTTGTGAATGGTGATAGGTAGGGATCTTGTTTTAATCCTCTGCATGTGGTCAGTCTTCCCAACATATATAAATAACTTTCTTTTTTCTTTTTTTTTTTAAGGGCTAACATTTGTTTATTAGACAATAGAACTTGATTCTGCTCTTCACAGAACTTGATTCTGCTCTTCAGTGTGTCTCTAAATTTAGTTGATTGACACCTCATTATTAGAAGACCATTCTCACTCACCATTTTTGCCACACACAGAATCTAAAATCTTTGGGTGGGACTTGTCACTTTTTTTGTTTATCTTTAAACTTTTTTTTTTAATTTTAAAGATGTGGGGTACAATTCAGAGTTAGGTATACTGTGGTGATCCTACAGGTGAAGTTCGGGCCTTCCACTGGTCTTCACTTTGGCTGGTTTAGGATTAGGTACACTTATTAATGTTATGTGCCTCCCACCCTCCTACCCCCCCACAGTGACCCGCTACTGCCAATCTCTTTCATGTAGTATTGTGATAAATGTTCACAATATGAGTGAGAACATGTGGTATTCAGTTTGTTGTTTCTGTTCTAGATCACTTGAGTATGGTAGACTCTAAATCCATCTAAGTTGCTGTGAAGTCCATAATTCTGTCCTCCTTTGTAGCTGTGTAATATTCCATTATGTATGTGTACCACATTTTTTTATCCTGTCCAGTTTCAATGGGTGGCACAGTTGGTTCCATGTTTTTGCTATTGGGAACAGTGCTGCAATAAACGTGTGTGCAGATATCTTTTTTGTAGAATGATTTGAGTTCCTCCAGGTATATTCCCAGAAGGGGGATTGCAGGGTAGTATGGAAAGTTAATATTTAGATCTTTTAGAAATTGCCATACCATTTTTCATAGAGATTGTACTAGTTTTTGCTCCCACGAACAGTGTGGAAGTGTTCCCCCAACTCTGCATCTTCTCCAGCATCTGTTGTTTTTTGAGTTATTAATCATGGCCATTCTAACTGGAATTAGGTGGTATCTCAGTATGGTTTTGATTTGCATTTTTTTGATGATTAATGAAGCTGAGCATTTTTTCATGTATCTTTGCTTGTATGTCTTTTTTTAAGAGGTGTCTATTTATATCTTTTGCCCACTTTTTAATAGGGCCGTTTGTTTTTTCCTTTCGGCACGTTTGAGTTCCTTGTAGATTCTGTATGTTAGACCTTTGTCAGATATACAGTTGACAAATATTTTTTCCCATTCTGTGGGATGATTATAAATAAATTTAATATCCTAGGAAAACACTAATGATACAGTATTAGTTTAGAATGTAGGACTCAAGACTTTATGTGCAGTATAATCTAAACAATATCTATAGAAAAAGACTGGAAGGAAATATGTTAAATGTTGGTCGGTGATTATCTCTAGGTATTTTGGTTATGGGTGACAGTTATTTCCTTTTATGTTTTAATCATTTTCCATGAAGGGCATTTAAGACTTTTAATATTTAATATGAAGAGATGTGTAGAAACTCTGATATTTTCTTTTATATCTGTATTCTTCTAGAATGCTGTTCTGCTATGGTATAGATGATGCTTCCTTATTACTTACTGGTTCTGCAGTAACAAAATCTACCTGAAGAGTCCAAAACGTACCTAATCGGTACCAAATACACTTCTGAGAAAAATATTAAAGTTAATTTTTTATCCACCAATGTTCAAGGTTTCCTTCTATTTTTCTTAATGTGTATGTGAGACTGGTAAGCAGTCTTTAGAATTTTTACTTGAGGCTGGAAACACCAAGTTGCCTCTAGTCTTGATAATAAAAATGTATGTAGTGATTTCTAAATGAATTTTAAAAACTGTTAACCAGAAGTTTAGTTCAAATGAAAAGGAGAAAAGTAAATATATGTAAATGTCCCATATGTTTCTTGAGTATGGAGTTTTCAACAATTGTTCCAGACATAATTGTATATACTTACTTTGTGTTAGATTTGAAATATTCAAGGCCAGCTAGTTTTTAAGTTTTTTTAAAAATTTGTTTCTTAACATCTCTAAGAATAGAATACAGATGTAATCATCATAAGTCTTTTATTTGTTTAGATTTTACTAGATTCAACATATTCTCATGTGTATTGTGCCTTATGTTTTCTTCACTTTCATCCCAGGATGTCAGAAGACACTTTATTCCCCATAGACCTTATGTTAAATCTGGCACTTAAGAATTATAGCCTTTGGGACAAGCTATTTTATTTTGTGAACCTTAGTTTTCCCATCACTGAAATGGGAAAACATTGTACCTTTTCAGAGTACATAGACAAAGAATCAGTACAGAGAGTAAGTTAAGATGGATACTTGATACAGGACTTTTAGGTTTGTTTATCACTTTTCTTCATGTGATCTTGGGCAAGCTACTTCTTTTGGCTTCTGTTTCCTTATCTTATGATAGTACCTAACTTGTATAAAGTTTGACCATGATCCTTTGATTATTTTTTTATTTGTTGTACTGACTGCTAAATCCTCAGCTCTTGATACAGTGTGTGCCACAAAATAGTGCCTGGTAAATATTTTTTGAATAAATCCTGCTAAATTTTTTTTTGTTACTGTGTTCAAATTGAGATTGCTTTATTTGGGTTAAAATTTGAATATTGCATTTTAAAATATTTTCTTGGCCAGGTTTGGTGACTCAGTATGTAATCCCAGCTCTTTGGGGGACCCAAACGAGTGGATTGCCTGAGCCCACAGGTTCGAGACCAGTCCGGGCAACTTCATGAGACCTCATCTCTACAATAAAAAGAGAATTAGCTGAACGTGGTAGTGTTGGAAAGCTGAGGCAGAAGAATCGCCAGAGCCCAGCAGGTCGAGACTGCAGTGGCCATGAGTGTGCCACTGCACCCTAGCCTGGGTGACAGAGTGAAACTCAGACTCAAAAAAAATTTTTTTTTTCTTAATATAGAGAATTTAAATTAATTAGATTTTTTAATATAGAAAATTTAAAATATGAAAATTAAACACAATTCTTCAACTTACTGACCAGATAACCTCTGGTAAACAAAAATAAACAAGTAAAAATAATGTAAGTACATGACTAAAAATTTCAATCACTAAGGAAAAATAGAAAGATAGAAATGAAAAGCGAAAACATTCTTCTTTTTGCCCCACCCTACACCCACTCTGCCCCAATTCTTCTCCAATAATCAGTATAACCTTTTCTTCCAATACCCTTCATAAAATTTGATGTTTTTGGTTGCACAAATTTATATCCTATTAAAAGTTTCACATGAAAGTGGTCATGCTACATATATTGTTCTCTACACTCAATAACAGAGTAGATCGATGACTTCTAAGAATATAGATATATATCACCCAGATATAATATTTTAAAAACAGAATGACTTTCTTAATCTTAAAAATTCAGTATTTGCTTCATGCCCCCTCCCTATAAGTCATGAAGGTGTTAGTCACAGCTAAGCCTGTCTAAGTGTAAGAGGTAGTAAATGATCTCATTCTATTTTGGGGGAAATTATTGTCCCCATTTTTAACACCATAAGCTACAGCCACATAATTCTTTTGGAAGCCTTAAAGGACTGGGCTGCAGCCTCATTCCTAGTCAGGATCTATTGCAGATGAGTCCTTTGGACTGGGGCTTGGGCTAAAGGTTTATTCCCTCTTTCCTCACTGCCCTTGAGACAGTTATACCCCTGGCATCCCATCAGGATAGTTTTCCTCTCCATATCAAGTCATTCTCTTGGATTGTGTCACGAGATCTCACACTGAAATGACTCCATGGTCTCAGTCCTTTACACTTAGCAGTTGTAACTCAAGGGTTTTGATTAGATCTTCAGGGATAAACCAGAGCTGGTCTGCACCTATTGGGGCTACCCTACAAGTGACTGTTGAAAACTTAAGATGAATAATTTCAGTTGAAACCTGATCAGTTCGGAAATGCAGCGAAAATAGTAATTATTGCTCTATTAGTGTAAGCTGGTAAATAAAGAACAATGTGCAGTGTATCTTATTGGGTTATTTTCCCAAGTATCTTTATGGCATTTATTATTTTTGCTATGACCCTTACTAACGTTCTATATGTGGAGTTATTTTATACCACGATTTCAGCTTTTTTTTTTCTTTTTGAGACATGGTCTCACTCTGTTGCTTAGGCTGGAGTACCATGGCATGATTACGGCTCACCACAGCCTTGACCACCTGGGCTCAAGGGATTCTTCCGCCTCAGTTCCCTATAGCTGCGATATAGGCATGCACCATCACACCTGGCTGTTTTTTGTATTTTTTGCAGAGACAAGGTCTCACAATGTTTCCCAGGCTGCCTTGAACTACTGGGCTCAAGCAATTCTCCCGCCTTGGCCTCCCAAAGTACTGGGATTATAGGCATGAGCCACCATGCCCTGCTGATAGCAGGTTTTTGAGGGGGAATGGGAGGAGGAGGAATTGTTTTAATATCAGAAAACTCAATAGACAGAAATTATTTTTTAAAGCCTCTCTTTATATGAAGAACAAATCTGGAGTTTTCATGAGAGTTGTGGCTGGATGCACTGCCCAAAGCAGCAATAATACACTGAGTGACTGAAATAGGTAAAAATAATCATTGCCTCCTTCTAGCCTACTGATGCTTTTTACTACTGACAAGAGGTCAATTTTTTTTTCTATAATGTGTGTACATACTGTTAGCTCTAACACTGATTGCTAAGTAGTTAACAATAAATTGATTTCAGTTTAACTAAGGGCACTTCAGGAAAGCATTGGTCTGCATGAGAAAAATGTTCATTACATGTAATCCTAGACACACACATAAATTAGCAGCAAGCTTTTCCTCCTGATGTCAAATGAATCACACATTTTGAAAAAAGGCTCATGCTTCACTTCATTGTGTATACTATAATTATAGCTGATACCCATTCTCAAACTTTAGTGTGACCTTGCAGAATTAATCTTTTATAAGAAAACAAACTTTTTCCTAAGAGAAAGTATGAATTAGGTAATTTAGAGCCGAGGAAAGATACTTCCAAGTGGATTCTTAAATTTTTATACCATTCATTAATAGCTTTGTCTTCCCTTTGTGCTTGTTAATATTATGTTTGTCACATATGTCTTCACTTAAGCAGCTGATTGACTGCAGGTTCCAGTTTTGTGTGTGTTGGTAACCATCACCTTCACCTTTTAAACTGCTTTATTGCACTGAAAGTTTTTAAAAGATTCAGGACTTGTGTTTTTCTAACAACATTTCCTATCCAGATTGCTAAATATTATAATTTTAGTTTAAATTCATCAGGTTTATTATTTTAGGCACATTATATAGTATCTGTTCCTTGATGATCATTTATAAAAATATTTCAGCATATAGTTTATTCCTCAACTGTTAGAAATATGAAACTCATCCTTTTGTTTCGATATAGTATTGTTTATTAAATTGTTTGAACTCTAAATGAGTTAATTTCTAATCCCAAGGTGACTGATGTAATAATGTAAGGGCATATCAACCCAGGATCAAAAAAGGTACTTATGAAATATGTGATTAACGAGTTTGATTTAAGAGTTTTAGAAAGTTTTATGGAAAATACAAAGAAAAAATATATAATTGTATTTAGAGACCAAAAATACTTGATAGTTGTAGTTTTTATTATATTAGAGTGAAAGTAATATTATTTCCTCTAAGTAACTGAGTGAAGGTGAGGCTTTTAGTTGAAGGTCTAAATGACTGGCATCCTTCTGTGGTGCTTTTTGGATTTGCTAAGTAGAACTTTGACCTACTCTTTCTTGTTTCTCTCAAGTAGCTGTGAACAGTAATTCATTCTGCAAAGGCTGAGTGGTCCTGGCAGGTATTACATAGGGCTGGGGTTCCTTACAGAGTAAGACTCCGTGTGTGTGTGTGTGTGTGTGTGTGTGTGTGTGTGTGTGTGTGTGTGTGTGTGTGTGTGAATTTCCAACTTTAGGGAGTATAAATTGTTTTTGGTTATAGGGTTGCATTGCATATCTGGACTTTAAGTGTGCCCACCACTCCCACCTGTACTTGGTGACTTTTTGTTGCTTTACCCCATTCTGAGGTTCCAATGTCCATTATACCAGTTCTCTATACCAGTTCTCTATACCTTAGCTCCTTGTGGTTTAACTTAAGAAGGTGCATTGACTAAGCTGACTGTAGATTTATTTTTTATACAAATTTATTTGTTAAACGGTTTTCTGTTAACCTCTTATCTCTACCATTTGAATACTTTTTAAAGAAATTACAAGAGGGAAGATAAATATTAAAAATTGCCTGGCATTTAAAAAAATCTGTGTGTAAGAGAGAATTCTTGAAATTTGTTCAAATCAAATAGAATTGTTTTATATTTAAGAAATTGTATTCATAGAAACTAAAAATAGATTTGTAGAAAATGCCTTTAATACTAGCTTGATATGAAAATTAATTCAAACTGAAACAGCTATCTGAAGACTTGTGTTCAATTTGAATATAACTCTTTCAGATTCTTCCTACCCCTTCAATAGCATCTCCAAATTTATTTGAATGGCTAATGAATGCATTCAAATAACAGTTTTTAATGTTTTAAAAACAAAATCCAATGGGCTTTGTTAATGTTTATTTACAGTTGCCTATTCTTTCAAATGTGTTTTATAATTTCATGTTAGAATATTCAGAATGTGTCAGTGAAAATTCTTGACTAATATTTTGGAAGATTTTAATATAATCTGTCAGAAGAGGCAGCCTCGAAACTTTGACTTAGTAGCATAATATACTAGTATCTTCTACCTATTTAAAAAATTTTTATTGCTAAAGCATCTCTCCCTTTTGACCTTATCCTTGGACATTGTTACTTAGCTAGTAGTAGAAAATTGAGCCCTTTTCTTTTGGAGGCACTTCTTGAGATTTCTGTAACCTTGAAAAAAAAAGTAAGAAATCTCATATTTGGTGAAGTGGCGTAAGTTCATCTAGGCACAAAGGAGTAAAGAACTTTATGATTACATTTTAGTTTCTAGAAAGTTAGACCCTTCACTTTCTCGTGTACTTCAGAGACCTTCCACTGAAAGATGTGTCAAATGTCAAACGTCCCAGGAAAATACTTTTCCTAGACTTGAAAAAAAGGTTGAAGAGCTATCCTTAATTGACCACTATTAGAGAAATTACAGACATTTATTCCTCTGACATTATCTGATGTGAGTGGTCCAAGGAATATAAAAACCAAAACAGTTGGAAGTTGAAGTCCACTCTTTTAATTAACCTTGAATTGGTTAAGTGGGAAAGGGGTGGTTCTGCTGTAGAATATTATTATCACATTTGTTCTATTCCTTCTTGTTATCAAAATTAATTTTTTCTTTCAGGAATTTCTAGATAAGGGTAGGGAAACTAGAAGTAATAGTTGATGTCTTTCTTGTTTACTTATTTGAGAATTAGTGAATAAATAAATTTTTAAAATGGAGCTTAATACTACATTTCTGCTAATTTAAGAAATAATCTTTCTTTTTACCTCAGCCCAGAGAGTATGGGACTTCTTGATCCAGCAACCAGTGATGGGCGAGTTATTTTCTTCTTACCCTGGCAAAAGATGACAATTGCTGGCACTACTGATACCCCAACTGATATTACACACCATCCTATTCCTTCAGAAGAAGATATCAACTTCATTTTGAATGAAGTGCGTAACTACCTGAGTTGTGATGTTGAAGGTAATTTAAACCTTCCTTTTAAGTTGTGTCTTCTCTCTCGTGTTTCCCAAACCATTAGTTCTCTTACTGGGTAACTGCTGTGTCTGTAGTATGACTCATCTTCACGTGTGACCTACTGTAACTTAATGTGTTGCTGACTTTTAGAAGATGTATGAGGGCCAAATTCTAACATATTGGGAAGAAATGGCCTTTTCTCCTCTCCTTTCTTCATCCACATGAAACTCATGCAGTCTTCTGATTAATTTCTAATTTCTGATTAATTTTGAATTTCTGATTAACATTATAAATGCCAGGATCAGAGACTGCACTCTAGCTCTGAGCACTCATGTGCTCCCAGAAGAGGATTAAATGTGTACATCACTGTGTAATTTCTACAACTTGTAAAGGTCTGGTTTATAGATACAGGATATCCATAGGAAATAACTAAGCAAAGAAATGACAAGATGGAGTTATATATCCTAAAATGCTTAATGGTCTGTTACTGCTTGGAAAGTTAAGTTCTGGCTGGTGGAATTAGCAAAAAGTGACTTGTATTTTTTTTTTAATTGAAAAAGGCTAACGTTTACTTTTTCCCATTCTTACTGTGGCATTTTAACTTCGTTGTCATATCATTTTCCCCAGTAAACTTGCATAGTGATTTTTTAAAAATTCTAGCCTAATCCCAGAAGTTCTCCAACATTGTGTTTCTGTATTTTCTAGGTCAGTTAATAGCCTCACCATCTATCTCTTCACCCAAGCTAGAAATGGCATGCTTATTTTTGGTGGTTCTCTCTCTTTCTAATTCCTGTCTATGTTTATTCTGAATACCATGCAAATCCTTAACCCACTTTATAACTCATTCCTGTGTCATTTCTCACTTGAACAATTGCACTTGCCTCCTGCTTCTTTTTTTTTTTTTTTTTTGAGTTGGAATCTCTGTCACCCAGACTGGAGTGCAGTGGCCGCTCCCGGCCACCGCAGCCTCGACCTGCTGGGCTCCGGCGATCCTTCCACCTCAGCCTTCCAAGTAGCTGGAACTACAGGCGTGCACTACCATGCCTGGCTTAATTTTTGCTTTATTGTAGAGATGAGGTCTTGCCAAGTTGACCAGGCAGGTCTCGAACCTGCAGGCTCAGGCATTCCACTCACCTCGGCCTACCAAAGCGCTGGGATTACAGGCTGAGCCAATGAGCCCAGCCAGAACTTGCCTTCTAAAACACAGTTCTGATCATCACTCCCCTGCACAGAAAATCTCTAAAATGTCACCTTATGACTTTAGGAAACATTCTAATTCTCTCACATGGAATATAAAGCTTCTACAACTTGTCTTTGGATATTGATATTCAATTATTCCCCCTCCCTGCAGTCTGTGTTCTAATAATAATATATTGCGTATTATTTTCATATATGTTTGAAAATAGATATTAATATAGACAAGTTTAAGATTTCTACAAAATAATCTTCATCTATTTAGATACGAAATCTTTTAAATTTACCTCTGCTTTTCATTTATTTTATTTTTAATTTTAATTTTTTTATTTTAAAGATGTGGGGTACAATTCAGGGTTAGCTTACAAATGTTCATTATGCATGTGCCCTTCTTGATAAAGTGTGATCCCCCCCTCCCCTGGCAGAGTTCCACTACTGCCAATCCCACCACCCCCAGCAGTTTCCCAGTACTGTTTTTTCTTATTGTATTATGATAATTGTTCAAGGTCCACTTATGAGTGAGACCTTGTGTTACTCAGTTCTTTGTTTCTGTGGTACATCATTCTTAAGTCCATTCAGGTTGCTGTGAAGTTCATGATTTTGTCCTTCTTTATGGCTGCATAATAGTCCATTGTGTATATGTACCACATTTTTTTAATCCAGTCCTCTTTTGATGGGCAACACGGTTGGTTCCATGTTCTTGCTACTGTGAACAATGCTGCGATAAACATACGTGTGGAGGTATTTTTTTCACAGAGTGATTTGAGTTCTTCCGGGTATATTCCCATTAGGGAGATTGTGAGGTCATATGGAAGGTCGATTTTTAGATCTTTTAGGAATTGCCACACTGTTTTCCGCAGAGACTGTACTAGTTTACACTCCCACCAGCAGTGTAGAAGTGTTCCCTTTTTGCCATATCCTCTCCAGCATCTGTTGTTTTTTGCGTTATTGATGATAGCCATCCCGACTGGAGTTAGGAGGTATCTTAGTGTAGTTTTAATTTGCATTTCTTTGATAACTAGTGAGGCTGAGCATTTTTTCATGTATCTGTTGGCTGCTCGTATGTATTCTTTTGAGAAGTGTTTATTCACATCTTTTACCTACTTTGTAATAGGGCTGTTTGTTTTTTTCTTTTCAGCACATTTGAGTTTCTTGGAGATCCTAGATGTGAGGCCTTTGTCAGACACAGAGTTCACAAATGTTTTTTCCCAGTCTGTGGGCTGTCTCCCTGCTCTCTTGATGGTTTCTTTGGTTTTGCAGAAACATGTCAGTTTGTTGAGGTCCCATTTGTCGATCTTATCTCTTATGGCATGGGCACTTGGGGTTTGATCAGGAATTGGTTGACAGTTCCAATCTCTATAAGGGTGTCTCCTGCATTTTCTAAGGTTTTAATAATTTGAGATTTTACTTTTTGGGCTTTGATCCATTTAGAGTTAATTTTTGTGTATGGTGATAGATAGGGATCTTGTTTTAATCTTCTGCATGTGGTCAACCAGCTTTTCCAAAATCATTTACTGAATAGGTTACCTCCTGCTCTGGTTTTTTTTTTTTGCTGTGGATTGTTTTGGTGATTCGTGGTTGTTTATGATTCCATATGAAAGGAATCTCCTTATAATGTTGACTTCAGTGAAGGACATGCAAAGATACTATTTTAGTTTGGATGCAACTCACCTTTTTTCCCCCTCTAAAAAAGGTGTTCATCATGTGACCACATATTCACAAACAAAACAAGCTGCTTTAAAAATAGTTCATATGACTCTTTCAGTTTAATTGATTAATCTATATTGTATAGTCTTAGTTGCTTTTAATCTAAAATACTGGATATAATTTCATTCTGAATACAGTCTCTTTGGATACCTACAGTGATAATATAAATGTATTAAATACATATAATTTAAATTTATGTGGTTAATGTTTATACTCACACACAAACACATTCAGACACAGTTATTTGGAAAATTGTCATGCATTGCTTGACATTCATATTTAAACACTCATACTGCATTGTGATTTTAGCATGATGTTTTGTTTTCCCCCTTTTGCAATCCAGGAGGAACCTCAACATCTCATTATGACTATATTTTAATATATTTATTATTGTTAATGAATCCTGCTCCATTTCATCTTTACCTGAGTATAATATTTGTTAATAATGGGCTTATGTCTTGACCTTAAGATCAACAAGTTTAGATTGTTGGAGCAAGGCATAAAATTAATTCAAGAGCAGAGAGCTCTGTGTTGAAAGTTTCCAAAATCTTAAAGTTCAAATGCAGTAAGGATGAGAAATCTAACTCCCTATACTGCTGAGAAACTGGGTGTGCTGGAAGCAGGTATAGTTTCTGATAGGCTGCTGTGGCCATGCTGTAGGTGGAGATCTCCACCAGTGAAGGGAGCCTGGGGCTCTAACAGAGACTGGATCACTTTTATTTGGCCTATAAATAGATGGGAGGCATGACTATGCCTGGTAGGTCCATAAAGTTCTTTTCAATTAACATACATTTTTGTAGTCAGAGAATTGGTGAAACAAAGAGTTTTATTGTTAATTTTGATGTTTGGTTGAATAGTTGAAATTTGAAATTAATATCTAAATATTGAAACTCAGGCCTTTCTCTTGGTGACCTGGGGACATTTTGAAATTGAGTCTTCCAGGAAGCAAATATCCAGAGTCAAAACAGAAGTGACAGATCTTTGGTAGACTTCATTTATTTCTCTGTGTGCACTACCTATCATACCCTCTACTTATAAACTTATTATTTAAAAACTAATTAACAACGATTCTTTATAGTTTCTTTTCATTCTTCTTTCTAACTGATTGATACTCTCATATTTGATGAATTACCCTTGGTCTTGATAAAGAATGTCAGTTAGCTAAGTATGTCTGTATCTTAAAGTCAGGGTATTCAAATTTGTATTTTTTTCTTGAGGAATCTTGGTAGAACTCAATATTGTTTTCTATTCAGATGAAATGTGAGAAAAAAACTCAGTTTCAGGTACCATTCAGTCATTTGATTACATGCTGTTGCTTAATAGTTTAATATTTACATTTGTATGCTTCATTTTTAAAAACTTCATTATTGAGCACTTTTAATGCTAGACACTCTACTGAACATAAGAGAAGAACCCCCAAAACTCAGAATTTACTTATTTAAAAATTGTGAATTTATTCTTACATTTAAACTTCAGTCATCTTCAAATTATTCTCCATTTGATGCAATGCATTTATCAAGATGCTTTTTCTACTGCTCAAAACAGTTTTTGAACTGGTCGATTTGGATGCCTTTTAGTGCTTCTGCTGTTTTTTGTTTCACATCTTTCACATCGGCAAAATGTTTCCCTTGAGAACTTCTTTCATTGGGGGAAAAAAAAAAAAAAAACATTGCTTAGGGTGAGATCAGGTGAATGGGGAGGGCGGGGCATGGGGGTCATGCTGCTTTTGTTCAAAAACTGCTGAACACTCAACCACAGTGTGGGCAGGTATGCTTTACAAATCACTGTCATGAAATGGGCAAATGTGTTGAAAGAATCTCTAAAACAAAATTCACTGAAGCCCAACGCAGCCTCACACAACCATGCTAGCTGGTACACCGATGCTGATGAGTTTCTAGAACACTTACCTAGTAGGGGAAGCCTATTACAAGGGGCCTGACCTTCAAAAATAACACTGGTATTTTTGCACACCTCCCCTCTACCTGTTATCTCTGATTCCTTTTAACAACCTTTAAGGTTTATTTTGTAAGTCCCACTTTTTAATTTAATTTAATTTAATTTAATTTTAAAGATGTGGGGTAAAATTCAGGATTAGGTATACAAAT